TAAGCATTAAGCACTCACACTAACGGTAACAGTAGTAAATCAGTATCACTGTCAGTAACAGTAGGCCTATCACGGTACCACGGTTCAAATGTTTGTTTAGGTGACTAGGTCAGGACAGTAGTGCGCATGCTCATACTCATACTGTCATAGGACCTATGTCCCTCAGGGTAGCCTACTGCCGGAACGTACCCTGGTCACTATTTGATATGGTTAGGGTTAGGGTTAGGGTTAGAGTTAGGGAGTAGGCGTAGGCGACTTACGTAGGCTCGTTAGTGAAGTAGGCGAGGTACGGTCCAGCATATTAGATAGTACCAGGGTACGTATATTAGATAGTACCCCGGGGGACATAGACCCTCTCAGCGACAGTAATAGCTCCAAGAAACGGTCTTTGCTACGGTTAGGAGACCTGATATGACTGTGTATAGTGACGTTAGTCACACAGCCTGGTTGGGTTAGGTCAGTAGGAGAAGCATTTTTGCAAGCTATGCGAATGGTATGGGCACTAATTTTTTAGTCCGAGCCGACGCAGATCCCAGTAATGGTAAACTCGCACCCTCAGATTAGCAAAGCGGAGTTATAACGTCTGCATTTGCGGACTACTAATTTTTGTGCTATCACGTCCTGGCGTAACCCGACCAGGCTGTGTGACTGACGTCAATATACATGGGCATTCTAATACCATGGGTATGGTCAATATGCTGGGTATTCTAACCCTAGCAATACCGTTTCTTGGAGCTAGTCCTGGCGTAACCCTGCATATAGGGTAGCTCTAGTACTATAGCCCGCTTACATTAACTGCTACTGGCGGCAGTTAATGTAAGTGGGCTATAGTACTAGAGCTACATATAGGGCAACTACGTGTATTACATGCCATTTGATCATGTGTGTATAATAATAGATTGTACGTACACTCCTGATTTGATCACTGGCTCACCATATACTAAATTACTATGTCCAGGGTCTACCAGTCTGTCATGTAGTCCTTGTATACCTTTATACTAGTGCAGTAGTGGTTGTGAACATTGACTCTGAAGTAAGTATATATACTATATAGCCTGCAATCTGAATCAATGTAATGTTTGCTTCAATGCATATTTTTTGCAGTTGTCGGTCATCAGGAAAACCATTGGTATTAGTATGGAGAAGTACACCCGAATCAAGAAAATTGGAGAGGGTTCTTTTGGCACAGCCTATCTTGTCAGGGCTAATGATGATGGCAATTTATATGTTATCAAGGAAATCAATATGTGCAAGGTGAGTGTTTAGTGTAAATTGATATTTAATTTCCAGGGGAATGTTTGAGCATTTAATTCACATTCATATAATATAGACATATA